CCCCTGCATTGTCAGGCGGATTCTTAACTACTGTGCCACCAGGGAAGTCCCACCAGCACATAGATTTAAAAATAATAAAAAAAATCTATGAAAGCGATTATAACTACAATGAACAGCAAAAGGATAAACATGAAGATGTAAAATAAGACCTCACAATCACAAAATATGGGGGAGGAAATTAAGAAAATGTGGATCTTTTAGAATGTGTTTGAGCTTCTATGACTACCAGTTTAAAGCAAGTAGATACAGTTATGGGTTAACATACTTGAAAACCAGGGTAACCACAAATCAAAAACATGCAGTATATTCACAAAAACCAAACAGAAAGGAACTCAAGAATGATACAAAAGAAAACCATCAAGCCACAAAAGGAAAAACGAAAAGAAGAAAACAAAGAAATACAAAGTCAACTGGAAAACACTGTTTAAAATGTCAATAAATACATACTTGTCAGTAATTACTTTAAATGTCAATGGACTAAATGTTCTGATCAAAAGACACAGAGTGGCAGATTGGATAGTAAAACAAGAACCTACAACAGACTGCCCACTTTAGAGAGAAAGACACGTTATAGATTGAAAGTGAGGGAATGGAAAAAGATATTTCATGCAAATGCAAATGACAAGAAAGCAGGGATAGCGATACTCAGACAAAATAGACTTTAAAACAAAGGCCATAGGGAATTCCCTGGCTGTCCATCGGTTAGGACTCGGTGCTTTCACTGCTGTGGCCCAGGTTCAATCCCTGGTTGAGGAACTAAGATGCCACATGGCGCAGCCAAAAAAAAAAAGACCATAAAGAGAGAGAAAGAAGGACACTATATAGCAGTAAAAGGATCAGTACGAGAAGGAGATCTCACAGTCATTAACATATGTATGCACCTAATATAGGAGCACCTGTATACATAAAACAAATACTAACAGACACAAAGGGAGAAATTAATGGGAGTACAATAATAGTAGGAGACTTTAACACCCCACTGACATCAACGGACAGATCTTCCAGACAGAAAATCAGTGAGGCAACAGAGATCCTAAATGACACAGTAGAACAGTTAGACTTGATTGATATCCATAGGACATTACATTAAAATAAACCCAGAATATACATTCTTTTTAAGTGTACATGGAACATTCTCTAGGGTAGACCACATAGTAGGACACAAAACAAACCTCAACAAATTTAAGAGAATAGAAATTATTTCAGGCATCTTTTCTGACCACAACAGCATGAAATAGAAATCAACCACAGAAAGAGAAATGAGAAAAAAAAGATTACACAGAGACTAAAGAACATGCTGTGAAATAACAAGTGGGTCAGTGATGAAATCAAAGAGGAAAAACAATTTAAAAAACCCTCAAGACAATGAAAACACAACCATACAAAATCTATAGCAAAAGCAGTCCTGAAAAGTTCATAGTGATACAGGCTTTCCTCAAAAAACAAGAAAAATCCCAAGTAAACCTAACCTACCACCTAAAAGAATTAGAAAAAGAAGAACAAACAAAAGCTAAAGTCAGTAGAAGGAAGGAATAATAAAGATCAGAGAGGAAGTAAATAGAGATTTAAAAATAGAAAAAAAGTCAGTAAAACCAAGAGCTGTTTTTTTTTAAGGACAAACAAGATTGACAAACCTCTGGCAGGCTCACCAAGAAGAAAAGAGAGGGGAGCCAAATAAAATAAGAAATGAAAGAGGAGAAATAACAACTGATACCTCAGAAATATAAAAAATCATTAAAAAATATTATGAACAGTACATTCCAACAAAATGGACAACCTAGAAGAAATGGACAAGTTTCTAGGTATACATAGCCCACCAAAACTGAATCAAGAAGAAACAGATAATTTGAACAGACCAATCACTGGAAATGAAATAGAATCTGTAATAAAAAAGCTCCCTGAAAACAAAAGTGCAGGACCAGATGGCTTCACTGGGGGATTCTACCAAACATACAAAGAACTTAGACCTATTCTTCTCAAATGCTTCTAAAAGATTGAAGAGGGAACACTTCCAAAGTCAACCTATGAAGCCACCATCACCCTGATACCAAAACCAGACAAAGACACTACCAAAAAAGAAAATTACAGGCCAGTATCTTTGACAAATTTAGATGCAAAAACTCTCAGCAAAATATGAGCAAACTGAATCCAGCAACACATAAAGAAGATCATACATCACCATCAAGTTGGATTCATCCCAGGGTCACAGGATGGTTCAACATATGCGAATCAGTCAGTGCGATTCACCACATCAACAAAAGAAAAGACAAAAACCACATGATCATCTCACTAGATGGCAAAAAAAGCATTTGACTGTCACCAAAGTGGGTATAGAGGGAACATATCTCAACATAATAAAAACCATTTATGACACACCCACAGCCAGCATAATACCAAACGGCAAAAAGCTGAATGCCTTTCCGCTAAATTCTGGAACAAGACAAGGATGCCCACTCTCACCACTTCTACTTAACATAGTATTGTAAGTCCTAGCCACAGCAATTGGACAAGAAAAAGAAATAAAAGGTATCCAGATTAGAAGAGGTAAAATTATCATTATATGCAGATGACGTGATTCTCTGTGTAGAAAACCCTAAAGGCTCAGCACAAAAACTATTAGAACTGATAAATGAGTTCAGTAAGGTAGCAGGATACAAGATTAATATACAGAAATCTGTTGCATTTCTTTACCCTAACAATGAAATACCAGAAAGAGAAAGTTTAAAAAAAAAATCCTGTTTAAAATCACACCCCTCCCACCAAAAAAAAAAAAACAACTTAGGAATAAACCTGACCAAGGAGGTGAAAAACTTATATGTTGAAAACTATAAAACACTGATAAAGCAAATAAAAAATGATTCAAGAAAATGGAAAGTTATCCCATGCTCTTGGATTGGAAGAATTAATATAGTTAAAATGGCCATACTGTGCAAACCGATCTATAGATTTATTGTGATCCCTATCAAATTACCCACGACATTTTTCACAGAGCTAGAACAAATAATCCTAAAATTTGCATGGAACCACAAAAGACCCAGAATTGCCAAAGCAATCCTGAGGAAAAAAACAAAGCTGGAGGCATAACTCTTCCAGACTTCAGACAATACTACAGAGCTACAGTAATCAAAACAATGTAGTATTGGCACAAAAGCAGACATATATATAGATCAATGGAATAGAATGGAGAGCCTGTAAGTAAACCCACACACCTATGGTCAATTAATCTTCGACAAAAGAGGCAAGAATATGCAATAGAGAAAAGACAGTCTCTATAGCAAGTGGTGTTGGGAAAGCTGGACAGCCGCATGTAAATCAATGAAGTTAGAACACTCCCTCCCACCATACACAAAAACAAATTCAAAATGGCTTAAAAACTTAAATATGGGCTTCCCTGGTGGCGCAATGGTTGAGAGTCCACCTGCCGATTCAGGGGACATGGGTTCATGCCCCGGTCTGGGAGGATCCCACATGCCGTGGAGTGGCTGGGCCCGTGAGCTATGGCCGCTGAGCCTGTGCGTCCGGAGCCTGTGCTCCGCAACGGGTGAGGCCACAACAGTGAGAGGCCCGCGTACCGCAAAAACAAAACAAAACAAAACAAAAAATCTTAAATATAAGACACGACACCATAAAACTCCTAGAAGAGAACATAGACAAAATATTCTCTGACATATGTGGAATCTAAAAAATAGTACGAATGAACTTATTTACAATACAGAAACAGACTCACAGACATAGAAAACAAACTTATGGTTACCAGAGGCAGGGGGGTGAGGTGGAGGGATAAATTAAGAGTTTGGGATTAACAGATCCACATTACCATATATAAAGTAGAGAAGGGTTTACTGTATAGCAGAGGGAACTATATTCAGTATCTTATAATATTGAAATATACTGTAAGAATCAATAAAGGATGTATATGTGTATAACAGAATCACTTTGCTGTACATCTGAAACTAACAATATTGTAATTCGATTTTTAAAAAGCAGGGTCATAAAAACAATATAGACGAACCTTGAACCTTTCGTAAAACATAAACTTAGGTTTGTTCACCAACCATTTGGTGGCTGGCCAACACCTTTTCTTGGTGGCTTGCTCCTTGGAGTTCTGTGGTGTTTTTATTTGGAAGCTCTAGCCAAGATGCATCATTTGTGATTTCCTGTTTTCAAGTGGAACAAGAATGTAGGCTCTCAAAGCAGTGGGACTGCAGGGTCCTTCCCTGTCATTTTTCATAGTTGTCTTGCTCACACTTAATTTGTCTGCCATCTTTTAAAAACAATCTACCTTTATTGAGTATTCCCAAAGCACTCCAAGTGTGTTTCTTAGAGGGAGCTATTTTTTATGGTTTTCATATTCCTTTCATTAGTTAGTAGTAGTATTTCTTTAATTTATGTAATCCTAACATTATATAAGTTACTGTCACAGCAGTATTCAGGTAGAGTGTCACCCATATCTGTGGCCCTGCCTGCAGATCAGTGTGGGGAGCACAAGCATGTTGCACTCATACCTGCTGGCCTCCAATGTCCCGTCCTCTCTGGGCCCCCCTAGTGTGGTTTGCAGAGGGACTGACTAGGGAATGTCACTGACCTGCAGAGTTGGTCACCTAGGGGCGGGTTGAGAGGTCATGTAGAGGTGGGTGAGCCCTTCTGCTCTGGGGACCTGGAGGAGGGGAAGGGGCATTCCTTCTGACGTCCAATTGGGGCTCCAGTGAGAGGGCTCTCGGGGTCACCAGGCAGGAGGGCAGGGTACATCCTGAACAGCAGGTGCCCTCTTTGCAGCATGACGCGTGCTCGGGAAGGTCCAGAGTCAGCTCTGTCATTTGTCATGCGCATCTGCCTATGATTCCAGGAGCTTCTTGGGGACGTGTGGGGCCCCCTCGTGGGGCCGAGCATGAGCCCTGGAGGCCAGGGTGTTTGCTTAGCCGGGGCCCATAGTTACTGCGCGGGGTGGGAGTGACTGTTCATTTAGAGACCTCAGCGCTTCTTTAACACTCCTCTCCCAGGGCCACCACAGTCCGGTACAAAGGGAGGAACCTGCGGATCAAAGCACCCATGTGCCGTGCCCTGAAGAAGCTCTGTGACCCGGACGGTACGTCAGACACGGGCTAGGCTGGGCCGCGCCGCGCACCTGGGGCTCACTCCAGTCGGGGGGGCTTGCTGTCTGGCTCCAGCCGGGCTGAGCTGGAACACGGCGGCTGAGCCTGCATGATCCAGTCCTGCCAGCAGGCAGCTCCTGGACCCGAAACCCTGTGTCATAGCGGTGTGTCCTCTCGTGAGTCAAGTCCAGCTCAGAAGCCCCAGCCGTCCTCAATGGAGCATCAGAGGTGTCAGGGCGAGTCTCCCATGGCCGGTCCACGGCTCTGGTGTAGCAGATGTGCAGCTGGCCACGCTGGCATCTTTAGACCAGGTCCTTGCTGGGGCTCCTGCCAGTCCCACTTTCACTGAGGGCTGTTTTCCCCTTGCTCCTCTCTGGGTCCCTTAGCTGTCTGGCTGAGGACTTCACCTTCTCATCAGGGTCCGTCTGTGCCAGGCTCTCATGGCCCTTTCCTGTTGCAGGCTTGAGTGACGAAGAGGACCAGAAGCCAGTGCGCCTGCCCCTGAAAGTCCCCGTAGAGCTGCAGCCACGGAACAACCATGCCTGGGCCCGCGTGCAGAGCCTCGCACAGAACCCGCGGCTCAGGTAACACGCTATGCGTTTTGGGGGAGCGAGCTGCGAGGGACGGGGCTGGAGGGGAGGTGTTGGGTCCCTGGGTGAGCAGCAGACTCCACTCCAGTACTCTGACACCACCTGGGGGTAGTGTGGGGGATGCCTTTAGATTCAGGTAAAATTCACATAATACAGAATTAACTGTGAGCCCTTTTAAGGGGCCCGGTTCAGGGGTATTGGGTACCTTCACAGTGTTGTACAACTATGACCTCTCTCTAGTTCCAGAAATTTTCAGCCCCCCGAGAGGAAACCCCATGCCCACTAAACACTCACTGTGCATCCTCCTCCCACTCCCCAGGGCACCACTGGTCTACTTTCTGGCCCTGTAGATTTGCCCATTCTGACATTTCATGTAAATAGGATCATATACTGGTGCTTTCTGTCTGGCTTTTCTCAGTGAGCATCATGGTTTCAGGGTTCATCCGTGTCGTAGCCTGCATCAGGACTTCATTCCTTCCGTGTGTATTTTTATTTTCTTGGGTTTAATTGAGTCTAGAGCCGCCCTCTTGACCACACAGGGAGCTGGTAGAAGAGAAGGGTGTGTTGTACCAAGGCCCCTGTCCTGGTTGAGACCTCATACTGTAAAGGGCACTCAGGATCTGTTACTTTTACTTGCAGTTTCTCGTGAGTCTCCTGTTATCTCAAATTAAAGAGTTAGTTTTTAGAAAAGGAGCCAGCAGCTCTACAGGGACATTATGGCTCTGGCCTTGAGACCCCCTGGCATCATCTTCCTGCCACAGCCTCTGGGGCTCCTAGAAGGTACCCCCACGTCCCAGCCTCCCATTCCCCATCTGTCTTTTCTCTGTAGGATGATCGTGGAGCTCCATCGAAAGGTCTCCAGCCTCATCGAGTTCCTGAAGCAGAAGTGGGCACTTCATGAAGTGCGAGTTGTATCCTTTTCCTACTTAAAGCCACCCCCAGGCTCCGCAGCACCTGCTGCCTGAGAGTGAAGTCTCCTTCTCAGTCCTGGAATTGCAGCGGGGTCCCCAGGCAGGTGTGCCTGGGATGGTGTAGAACCAGAACTAAAACCCACAGCCCCTCATCCTCTGGGTTTTGGGTCTGAACCCCCTTTTTGACCTCCTTGCAGTGTTAGAACTCTGTCACAGCAGCCGTCCTTGCTGTAAGTGGCTGCCATCTGGCCCACAGGGTGTGGCCGAAGCATCCCTGCCAGCAGGTTGAACAAAGTGACCGAGGACAGCCCCACACCTACATCTTCGTGTCCTTGGCTGGCTTGTAGCCCTGCCCAGTTCCCAGCTAGGAGGGTGAGTGTTGGGTGTGGAGCCCGGAAAGAAGGAAGTACCTGTCGTGTCTCCCCGCTGGACCTCAGGGTGTGAGCTGCTGCTGCAGGTGGTTCCTTGACGGTGCGCTCAGCGGAAGACATTTGAGGAGCAGCAGCTGCAGGACTCGTTCATGGAGCCATCGCAGGAGAAGGTGGCACTTCACCTGTTCCCGGGGGAGAACTGCACCCTGACCCCGCTGCCGGGCGTGGCCCGAGTGGTACACTCAAAGGCCTTCTGCACGGTGCACTGGCAGGAGGGTGGCCGGTGCAAGCAGAGCACTAAGGACACCCACTCGCTGCCCCCAGCCCAGATCCTGGGCATCCAGAGCGGGCAGGGCACAGCCAGGGGCCAGCTGAAGTGCCCACGGGGTGGCGCCGAGGCCAAGGGCGGGGGGCGGCCCCCTCCCTCCACCGACGCTTTGCAGAGCTCTGGGGAGAGTTCCCCTGAAAGTGCACCTGGGGAGGGGGCCGCTGCAAGTTTCAGCAGCCCGGATGCCTCTGACAGGCTTCCCCCTGGGCTCCAGGATGCTGGTGGACAGCTTGAGAAGACCCCTGTGGCCGCTGCTGCAGAGGGTGGGGACGGCCCTGCCCGAGAGCCCGGGCCCCTGGCGTGTGCCTGTGGCCAGCTCCCAGACCTGGAAGATGAGCTCTCCCTCCTCGACCCCTTCCCCCGCTACATGAAGTCCTGTCAGGACCTCATCATCCCTGAGCAGTGCCACTGTGCAGACTCACGGCCTTCAGGGTGCCCCTCCCCAGAGACCCTCGTCCCCAGCAGCACAGAGGTGGCCGACCTCGCCCGGGCCAGGGCACCATCCCCTGCCCGCGTCCCTCCCGGCCCAGAGCCTCAGTCCAGCCCCGGGCTCCAGCCGGACGTTTGCACTAAAGACTTGGCGGACGCGTCTGCGGAGGAACCCCAGGAGAAGGCGAGCCCCTTGGACCCCCTGCCACCTCAGGGTCAGCCTGCCGTCAAGCCTCCGAAGGACGTCCCTGCCAGCCGGTTCGCCCAGCAGCTCCGCGAGGAGGGCTGGAACCTGCAGACCTCTGAAAGCCTCACGCTGGCTGAAGTCTACCTCATGATGGGCAAGCCCAACAAGCTGCAGCTAGAGTACGACTGGCTGGCAGTGCTGGGCCCTGAGGGCCAGGCCCTGGGAGGGCAGGCCCAGGGCTCCCGGGCCGGCTCCCCGCCTACCACCTTCCACAAGCAGCGCCTCCTCAGCTGCCTCCTGAAGCTCATCTCCACCGAGGTCAACCCCAGGCTGGTAAGTGTGGGTCAGAGCACAGCCCTTTTGGCCCCCCAAGGGCTCGCGGCTGGGTGGCTGGGGTCCAGAGAGGAAAGACCGGCCTTGTGGCAGGTGGCCTGGGGCCCCACAGGCTCATTGAAGGAGGTGGTCTGAGGGTCGCCTTTCGTTCCCTGGAGTGGGCTGCACAGAGCACGTGGTTGGGGCTCCAGTTCCCTGCAGTTCAGGCCCTCATCCCGTGGGGCTCACACGGGCTGCACCTTGCCCGGCTCCAGAGATGCCACTGAGCCCAAGTGTGTGGGCCGAGGGGACAGAGCCTGGGACAGAGGCGCAGAGGTGAGGTGGCAGCCATGGCCAGGAGCCGAGCTGGGCTGGGAGCGTTACAGGTTTCTGCAGCAGGAACGGCGAGGTCGAGTGTGTGCTTTGGAAAGGCCATCCTTGGAGGCCAGTGGGGGTGCAGCCTGGGTGCAGGGAGTGGAGCTGGGAGGGGTTGCGCTGGGTGGGCTGCGCCCAGGAGACCCTGTCAGGAGGTGGCTGGTTGGAGTGGTCTCAGGTTCCTTGAGAGGCTCCTGTGGGGGGCAGTGGCTGCCATGGCCCAGGGAAAGGGCACCCGGCCAGTGGGCCTGGCCACGGCTTGTAACTGCCCCCCCAACCCCGCTCCTGGGAGGCCGGCCAGCAAAGCCCACACGTGGGCTGGAAGGTGCTGCAACCGGAAAGTCTAGTCCGCTCTCTGGGCACAAGAGCAGCGTCCTGAGGCAGGTCGATCCCGAAAGGTGCGTGTGCACTAGAAGGTGAGGCTCACAAGTTCCAGGAGGAGGCGCCGAAGCTCAGCGTGGTGGCCTCACAGGAGTGGGGCTCGGGTCACAGTCAGAACCAAACTTGAGGTGCGCCCATGTCACCGCTGTGACGGGTACCCGCCTCCTGCTCCCCGGGGCAGACAGCACGTGGTCTGTGTTCTGCCCCATTTCCCGGAGCCTCTGCCCTAGGCTCCTGCCCACCATCTTCCGGCGGCACTCAGCAGAGCTCATGGTGGGGAAAGAGCGCCACGTGGGACCAGTTCTCGTGGGGGTGGGTGGGGCCCGAGGGCCAGCAGTGGACTTTGGATTCAGGTGTGGATGTGACCTGCGGGCAGGCATGGGCAGTATTGCAGTGACTGGACAGAGATGATGAATTGAAAACACTTTTTCAAGTTTGGCTTTTGGAGGGGTCAGGAGCAGAGACGGGGGAGACTGGAGCGTGTCCAGACCCCTAGGGAAGGAGGCCAGGCCAGGCCGGCTCCTAAGGAGGCGGGAGTTTTGGTACACGGCCGAGGTGCTGGCCTTGGCCTCAGCCTCAACTGGGAGAGGAGAGTAGAGCAAGTTGGAAGTGCAGAGTATGCAGAGCAAGGCGCTCAGATCTGTGGTTCCTGAAGCGGAGTCCCCGGCCAGCAGCCTCGGCATCACCTGGGAACTCGTTAGGGATGCAGGTTCTTGCAGCCCAGGATTGACGAGACGCCCCCACCCCCATGCCCTGTTTGGTGATTCTGATGCAGCTCAGGTGTGAGAATCCCTTGCTCAAGGCCCCAGGAGAAATAGAGGACCTTGAATTAGAGATGGCCTGCCTGGCCAGGCGGCCCCTCCCTGCGATATCTCTGTAGGTGGGACGCTGACAAACAAGTGCAGCGATGGCCGCCCCGCCCCAGGGGGCTGACGGGCACTCAGGTGGGAGGTGGGGGTGTCGAGATCCAGTGAATGGAGTAGGAAGGGACACAGCAGGGGTCCCAGGGAAAGGAGAAAGTGGGTCAGGCCAGGGCGAAGGGCATGGGAGACACAGAAAGAGGTGCAGGGTAGGTGGGGCTGGGTGAGAGCATGGGGAGTGGGTGCTGGGAAGAACTGAGGGGGCGGGGCAGGACGGTGGAGTCATGGGAGAGAACAGGTGAGTAGAAGGGGTGCCTCTATGGCCAAGGACCCCAACACTCAGTGACAGCCAGGAGAGTGGAGGCAGCGGCCTCAGGTAGGGGCCCACAAAACCCCTGAGGCGGAGGTTTTGACTAAGCAGAGGACTCCTTGGCTGTGATTGTGTTTGATTTTAGAAATTAATCTGTATTTCCTTCCTCTGACTCACAATCAGAAGAAGCTTTAAGAAGGAGAGTCCCTGTCACTTGCCACTCAGCCTCCCCTCCCATCACGGTGCAGGGGTACGCCCTGTCCATGCCACCGCAGCAGTGAACGCAGAAGGGCTCCTGGAGGACAGCGGTTGTTCCCCTGAGGGCCTGGGGGCACCAACCTGTGCGTCATGGAGTGTGACCCTGGGTCCTTTGCTGTCCTGTCACACTCCACAAGCATTGTTCCGTGCTGAGTTTGGCCAATGTTTTGGCCCGTTTCTGTCCCAGGCTCCAGAAGCGAACACTGGCTCCACGGCCTCAGTGAGGCCCGCCCAGGAGGAGCAGTCGACGACGCCCCCGGGGAAGGTGGTGACTGTCAGCACCCGCAGCCCACGCTGCCCTCGAAACCAGGCTGCCCTCCGTCACGGCAAGACCTTCTCCCCCAGCTCCACACCTTGCTCCTCAGGTGAGGCCCAGACAGCCACAGGCAGCCTCCTGGGTCCTTGCTGGGCGTTGCGGGCTGCACAGAGCCGAGAGCTCTGGGCTGCCTGAGGCCTCGCCCCACTCAGTCAGCTGCAGTCCAGCGGATGGTGTGGGGTACAGAAATCACTGCCTCCTCGAGGGGAGGGTGAGCACAGGGCCCGTCACAGAGGCTCTGGGGTCCTGGGTGCGGGAGCCGACAGGAAACATAGGGGACCCTTGCCAGTCTGGTCACTTTGGGGGATCTGGCTTTGTGAGGTCAGCAGCAGCCTGCATATCATGCCGAGTTGGTGGCTTAAAGTATGAGAAAGGTTGGTTCTTTCTGAGTCTTACAGGGACTGTTTTTCTTTACATCTAAAGTATTAGAATAAAGAAACCTTCAGTTAAAGGATACCCCAGCAGTTGAACACAAGTCTTAGAAAGAAAGATGGGCTTACCTGCTGGTCCATGGTTGTATCTAGGAAGTAATTTAAATTCAGCGTCCTTTTTTGGATTACGTGGCACATAACCCTGGGATAAACATGACTCGTTTCTCTGAGTCATCAGTTTACTTGCTTAGTATTTTTTTTTTAATAAAACAGGTTGTCATGGCTAGAATAGTTAATTCTGCATGAATTTTAAAGAATAAGGCTGCTGTGGTGTCAGGCTCCCCACCTCCTGCAGTTCTTGTTTTCCATTTCCCTCCTGACCTTTATCCTGTTTCCTTGCCGTGGCTCACGAGGGGGCAGCAGCAGAATCGGTTGTCTTTAAGGCAAAGGTGCGTTCCTCAGGCGTCAGCCAGTGGTGGGCTAGCTGGGAGCCTGTATAGTCTTTGCCGCCTCCCTCTGGCTTTAAAGTTTTGTAATTCTGTGAACTCTTAAATATCCACACTCTTCCTCAATCGAGGATGCTTTTAGCCCAGTGTGCCTGCAGTGCTAGAATCCAGACAGGTGCTTAAAAGACCTGGTCTCTGGACTCTGTGCGTGTTGATTTAACCTCACAGATTTGCAAATAAAGAATAAAGAAAGGAGACTCGTCCCTACCATGAAGTGAGGGTGCTTTGCAGCAGCGCCTATGATGATGGAAACAGCAAGGAGAGTCCCCAGATAGTAGTTCCTAAATAAATATTTTCTGTCTTTTTATTTCTAGGTCTGTTTTCTGTATAATTAGAGATTTAGACCAAGGATCAGCAGACCGTGGTCCACAGCCTGCTTGTTGTAAATGAAGTTTTATTGGCACATGGCCACATCCACTGGCTCACGTGGCTGCCTTTGTGCTGCAGCCGTAGAGCTGAGTTCAACAGAGACTGTGAGGCCCTCGAGGCTGACTTTTGTTGTCTGTCCATGTCCAGAGAACATTTGCTGACCTCTGGTCTGCACTAGATGATCTGGAAGGTTCTTCTAGCTCTGAAAAGTCTTTGAAGGTGAATCTGCCCTTCCCACTGAGATCAGAGATCAAGGAAAGCTCTGATCTGCTTACATGGTGGGAACTAGAATTGCAGGGAGAAAGGGAGAAAAGCAGATTTTTACAGCACTGAGATATAGGAAATTCCCTTTAAGGACACCAGAGAGGCTGTCAAGGATTCCTTTCTGATTTTCTTCCCGGTGGAACCCCTCCCACGCTGGAGGCGTTGCTGGGTGAGCGCCGTTGTATCTGTTCTCCCTTCTCCTTCCCTAGGTTTGAGAAACCCCCCGAGGCCCCTCTTGGTGGCCGGTCCCTCCAGTGCCGGAAGTGGTGACTCAGATGGTGGCCTTTTTGCTGTCCCGACAACTTTGCCACCCAACAGCCGACACGGGAAGCTCTTCTCTCCCAACAAGGAAACAGAATTGACGTTCCGTCAGCATCTGAACTCCATCAGCGTAAGTGGGGCCCACGCCTCCCTGCTGCTGGCCTGCCCCATGTGTGTGGAGAAAACACTCTCAGGGTCAGTACTGTCTTCCTCACAGATGCAGTCGGATTTCTTCCTGCCAAAGCCCAGGAAGCTGCGGAACCGGCACCTGCGGAAGCCGTTGGTGGTCCAGGTCAGGAGCCCATCCACGTCTGCGTGTGCCTGGCCTCAAGGGCTGGCCTCTCCCTCCCACCAGCTGAGCTGTCCAGGACACGCTAGTGTCCTCCTGTGTCTCAGGTTTTCATGTGAAGTGGGGAGAATCCCTGCCCCTTCTTTTCTTCTTTTTAGCAGGATAAAGTAGTAACAGTGACCCTAACTGTACCTGAAAATAAAGGTAATCTTGGTACAGCATGAAAACCGCTTGCAAAAAAGACAGAAAGTTCTTGGGATTTGGGTTCCAAGGATGTTCCAGATTGGAATATATGTGAGGACGCTCAGAACATCTGTTTATAAGTATGTAGTAAATGGAAGCAGTTGGCAAGGTATATGGATTGACCAGAGGCCAGACCTCTCCCAAGCTGGTAATGAACTCTGGGAGGACCTGGGGATGCCACCTGCAGACCCAGAGGGGTGATCCAGGGATGAGAGGCACAGGAGAAAGAGGGCATTTTTATATGGAGGTGAAAAGATAACAGAGGTGAACCTGAAATAACTATGGGCCTGGAAATTTATGAATGTTTTTGAATTAATGCATAGGTCTCCTTTTGTTAGACTCAGAAATCTCCTCCTCTCTTGGAAGTAATTTATTTAGAAATGAGAGATTGCATGACAGATCTCAGGAAGGAAAATTTATTCAAAGTCCCACAGGTTTTTTTGTGTAGGCTAATTCAATGTTAGGGCATTTAATTTTGGTATATTTGGTTAAATACATTAACCATCTGCCCTGGGCATGGGAGCACACTCCCTGGCTTAGGATACCTCACGGCCCAGGGTCGCAGCCATGGTGCCCTCAGCTGCCTGTTGTTGTTTTGTTTGTAAACAGCTTTATTGATATATAATTCACATACCATGAAGCCTACCTGCTTAAAGCGTACAGTTCAGGGTTTTTAGTATATTCACAGGGGTGTGCAGCCCCCACTGCTGTGTCATCACCCCAAACAGAAGCCTGGCCCGTTACCTGCACCGCCCCTTCCCCAACCCTTGAGCCACTTCCTGTCTCTAGGGATCACATAATTTCACATAAATGGAATCACACTTCACACTTCATATGTGGTTCTTTCACTTACTGTTTTTATAAAAAGTTTCATGGGCATGTGACCACGGTACTTCATTTTTCTGCTGTCCACGGCTGCTTTCACACCACCGGGGTGCACTTGAGTAGCTGTGACAGAGACTGCGAGGCCCAGAGCCTAAAGGATCTCCCACCTGGCTCTTTCAAAGAGGCGTGAGGCTGGCATGGGACACCAGGGCCCGTCACCTCGTGTACAGTCACCCCGTTGCCTTGCGGCACCTGGTAGACCCTTGGGGAGCCCCAGTGGGGCGAGAGCCCAGCTGTACGCCCAGAGCTGCAGTGCCTCTGGACACTTCCGGCCTGAGAGATGCTTTCTGTCAGTGCTTCACCTCAACAGCTAACAGTGTTGGCAGTGAACTCCATTTCCTCTTAGGTGGTAGTCGTCACACCATGAAGGCGCCCTGAGCACATTGGGACCTGATGTTTCACACATGGGAGCCCTGGGCATGTGACAGGGAGGAGCAGGCACCAGACCGTGGATGGGGTGGAGGACCGCATGGCCTTGGCCCCCTGCGATACAGGCGGCAACTTGATTTTCTTCACCCAAACAAGGGATATCTCGTAACAGTCCATATCGAGTGGTTATAAATATTTATAGGACTAGTTGCATTCCAGCCAAATCCAGATGTTCTAGATAAAAGGTGGATTGTTCTGACATTCCCCCAGTTTTCCCTGGGGAGCTTCAATTCCCTGGGTTCTTTTTGGAGAGGACCCAGTGTTTAGGGGTCTGGGGTCTACAGAGCACAGCCATCCTCAGACTGTCTTGGAAGCCCTTGTGTCAACTCTAGAACCAGAACCCCCATCTGGTTACACTCAGCTCCCTCTTCTCTAGAACATTCCTTTACAATCCAGCACTAGTTTCCTGGGTGATTTTCGGTATTGGGGTCTTTCCATCACCTGAATATTGCCAATTTTCCCTCCACAGAGAACACTGCTTCCTAGACCGTCTGAAAACCAGTCCCACAATGTCTGTTCCTTCTCCATCCTGTCGAATTCTTCCATAACTGGTAAGTGCCGGGGCTTCTCAGGGAAGCTTTCGCTCCTTACGTGCGCGGCCCTGTCTTTGGGAATTGCAGGCATTTGTTTCTGTGGCCCTTTGAGTGACATTTCAAGCCTTCCTGGGTCTGTTCTATCAACATGGGCAGCGGTGTGGGCAGGCGTGGTCCCCTGACTGGTGGTCCACAGGCAGCTTCCTCCCAAGGTGGGCTCATACGGCCCTGGTTGGGGTGCTCCGCTTGGTTCAGTTTAGAGAAGGGTCTGTGGTCCACCCCGTCCATGACATATTCTTGTCAGGCGTTTTATGGGACAGACGTGTCCTTAGGGTTTGCGACTCATGCTTTCATTTGGTCTGTAAGCTCAGTGGGGCCCTCACACTTTGCAGTAAATCTTATACAGTGAGACTCCTTCAGTGAAACACACATTCCATGACTTACCTTTTTATCGGTCTTGATTTTCACAAGACCCAGACAATTGCTTATTCTCACACCTACTTTTCAATGGCAGAAAGCCTGCCAGGAAGGAGCCAGCTTGCAGAGGCAGCACCTTGATCCTAGTCTGGTGCTCTGACCCCCTCAGAGGAGCCTGTAGCTCAGCTCAGGTGTGACAGACCCTTAAAGGGCTGTTCCCGTGGGCTGACAGTAGTGACCGCAGCCATTCAGCAGCCCCCAGGAAGCGCAGTGGTGCCGCTGTCACGGGCGACAGTGCTTTCTCCCCACCGGGGCCCTGTGTGACCATTAACTTCCCCAAGTTAGCAAGTGTTGGGACGTTTGGTGGTTTCCAGCTCGGCTTCCATGATCCGGACAGTGGCCATGAAGGGGAGCTCGTGCAGCCCCTGCCGTGTGGCAAGAGGCCATCAGCTCATGTGCCTGACGCGTCTGCTTCCACTCTCATCCTCACAGGGAGAGGCTCCTTCCGGCCCATTCAGTCCTCCCTGACCAAAGCGGCTCTGTCCCGGCCGATTGTGCCCAAGGTCCTGCCACCCCAGGCCCCAGGCCACCTGGCCAGTAAGTCTCTGCGACTCTGCCCTGGCATAAAAATGAGGCCTGCACATGGGCTGTCCCCTCTGGGGCGCGTTTCAGGACGTCAGGAGACAAAGACTTGCACGTTGCTTCTGTTGCCAGGCGCTATCGACTTAGCAGCTAAAAGCGCCGGCATCATCCCTGGGAGCCCCCTCCCCGTCCTGGATGCCGATGGCTTGTCTGGCATCTCCCCGCTGTCTTCAGATGAGGTGACGGTGACTGTCTCGGGGCAGGACTCCACCGGCACCCACCAGAATGGAGACCCCATCCCCGCTGTAGGGGTGAGTGTGTTTAGAAGGGCTTCTCTGAGCTGCCACCAGCTTTTGGGATGGGATGGTCAGTCTCCAGTCCTGGTTTGAAAGCCAAGGCCATGAGCTGAGGTCGTGCTGGACTCCAGCTCTGCCTCTGGAGGGGCTGGGCCTGCTGAGCGAGAGGAGCGTCACTGAACAGGGAAGTCTCAGCCTGAGTGAGACCATGTGGCGCAGCGGGTGGGGTGGGCTTGCCATGTGACCCAGGGAATCCACAACTAAGATGGGCATGGAGGTCTGCCCGCAGTGAAGGTAGCCGGCCTGAACAGGAGGTCTGCCCGCAGCGAAGGTAGCCGGCCTGAACAGCAATGTCACCAAGTTGGCTGTCAGTCCACCCCTGACTCCCTGCTACTTGGGTGCTGCTTCAGCGGGCCCTGCTCTGCAGCCCTGCCAGCACTCCAGCTCCTCTGGTTACCCCACCTGTTTGAGGGCTGCCTGAGGTGGGCAGGGCAGGTGGCCACTTAGGACTGCAGAGCCCAGCCCTGCCTGAGGACCCTGAGGTCGACCTCTTGCTAGGACTGGAGTTGATTGTGAATTGACAAATGGTCTCAAGTTTGGGGATGTGGGGGCGCACATTCTGAGAGCAGTGGGCTTTCCTGTGCTCCCAGGGAGAGCTTTCCAGCCTACACCCCCGTGCTCCTGCCTGTTAGGAGCCGTGGGGTGGACGGCTCTCCTCAGGAGCCAGGTGCCGGACCAGCGCTCACTGGCATATTCCTGGTGTTCTCGTAGGGCACGAGCGACCCGTTCATCAGTGTCCCCTCGAGGCAGGAGACGGTGGCAGACGGTTTCCAGGTAGAGTGTGCTGTTGGCTGCTGAGCAAAGTAGCTGCCCCAGGACCTCGTCCAGCGCTGGGCCCTACCCTCGTGGTCCTGCTCGTGGGCCCGGGCTTCTTCCTCATGATGCCCAGTGGCCGTCCTTCCCCGCACCTTGCCTCCTTGGTGCACATGCGGCTCCCATCTCAGGCTTCCTTTCTCCCCTCTCGGGCTGGCTGATTGAGACACAGTTCTGGAAGGACTAAGTTTTCTGGGCCGGGTAGGAGGAGGTCATCAGCTGGGGGTGGAAGCAGATCCAGGCCACCTCGGCCCAGCCTCCCAACTGTGCCATCCCTCAAGGGTTTCAGGAGAAGGAAGTTCCCTGAGTGTGTTTCTCGCTGGAAGGATGAGTGACCGCTGGGGTCACTGCCTCTCTGTTGGTGTCCCCATCACTCAGTCACTGCTCTGTGGGACCAAGGTTGCTTTTTCATTGCTTGGTATGGACTGTCTGATCTGTCGTGTCTCAACAGTATCTGTCTCCGCAGAACTCGCCCGTTCTCTCCTTATCCGAGCTGTCCAAGGCTCCTCTCCACAATGGGCTCTCCACACCGTTGGCCTCGTCGGAGGCCTCCAGCACCCGGCTCTCTCCGCCCAACGTCTCTGCTCTGCTGGACATCTCCCTGCCCGGCCCGCCTGAGGACGTGCTCTCGCAGGGAGAGCCCGCCACGCAGATCAGCGACTCCATCATCGAGATCGCAATCAGCTCCGGCCAGTACAGTAAGGAGCAGGGTGCCTCTGCACAGCCCTCCTGGAGTCACTTCTCCCAGGGGCCTTGACCTCCCACCTGAGTGTTTGCCAGCCTCCAGGCACCTTGCTGTCCAGCTGTCCTGGGTGTTGAGCCTCTGCACCTACAAGGCACTGCCCAGCCTTGGCAGGGGCAGCGCAGGCGGACAAGGCCTGTACAGGACCTGAGCCTGTTTGTGGTCTGGCAGGGCTGCCCCTGGCCTTGGGAGATAGAGCGGGCCCACGAGGCGTCTCCAGCCTGGGGATCAGGCAGGGCCATTTCCTTGTCAGTTCTGAACCTGGGTTGGACGCCTGCAGGGTTGTGGGTTTTAGGAGGGGTTGGACTGGTACCTGTGGGCCTTGGCTCCCCGAGCCTGTGGGGATGGTGCTGTGGGGCAGCGGTATGGTGGGCGCCAGCTGGTAGAGTTCAGGCCGTGGATTCAGAGCTAATAGCTGGCAGCGTGTGGCCGTGGGCTGGTCACTGGCTCATTAGAGCCTGTTCTCCTTAGCAGTGTGTTGGGAACCGCGGACATCTTGCAGGGCTGTCGTCAGCAGCAGGAGAGGGTGTAGGTGATGCCCTCAGCACAGGGCCTGCCTCCATCCGCTGTGGCCAGTGTCATTCTCTGAAGATGGGCACGGGTCCCTACTGTTGGGGGGCCCAGTGGGGTCCTGGGCCTCCCAGTTCAGCCGCGCATGCCACGCCACTCTGTGGCCTTCTTGGTGACAGGTGGGGGAAGTGGGGCTGTTCACCCCACATGTCGACTCTGACCCAGATTTTGGTTGACAGGTGAAGGAGTCCCTCTTTCTCCAGCAAAACTGAACGGCAGTGACAGTTCCAAGAGTCTCCCCTCCCCGTCCAGCAGCCCCCAGCCAGACTGGATCGCCTCCCCGACCCACGACCCCCAGTGGTGCCCCAGCGACCCCACGGACTCCTCACTCAGCAGCTTGTTTGGTGAGTCTCTGTGGAGGGCAGCCGGAACAAGCAGAGCCAGAGTCTGGACTCTCCAAGCTCCTGGCAGAGGGCCCCTCCAGGGCTGTTCCTTGGTATTTAGGGGTTTTTTCTGCATCAGTTACATGTGGGAAAGTGCGCAGGCCCCAGTGTGCAGGTCACTAGGCTTTGGCAGATGTGTAAACCCCGTAACCATGGCCACGTCCATCCTGCGGTCAGTCCCTTGTGCCCCTCCCCCCAGGCTCACTGACAAGGGCAGGGTGGAAGGAGCTGGAGTGTTGCGCCCTCTTTGCTCCCCTCTTTCTGTTCTGTGGTGGCACGGCAATGACAGATCGGAGCCTTCACAGGATGTGTTCATCCTCGTCACCACCGGTGCCTGTGGGACAGGAAGGGGCTATTAGGGAAAGACTCACCAGCTTTGGTTTCCTGCACAGAGGAGTTTCTGAGGCACATCTGGGGTCCGTGCACTTTGCATTTGTAGAGAGCAGCCAGGGTGTGCACCCTGACATGGGGCGTGCTGTTTTCTGACCAACTGGGTCAGCACCGTGTGGGAGCACCACACCTGAAGGCCCCGAACAAGCCATGGCTCTGGTCTGGGTGGTGCGGGGGAGCCAGCCCCCAATGCGCATTGCCTGCTCAGAAAGTCACAGAGAGCAGTGCAGACTCTGCAAAGTCGAACAGAAATCATGAGAAATTGGAAACAACCTTACATTGAGGTAGCAGTGGTGACCAGACAGTGGAACACTGTGGGGCCCCTAGAAAAATGAGAGAGACTTTCCCGGGCTGCAGGGGACTGTCCAAGGCTCACCATGGGAGGAAAGGCAGGTATGGCCTGATGCTTCCGTCTGGAGCACCGTGCCCATGCAAGCAACGAGATGCCTGCAGGACCCAGCCAGGCCTCCCTGGACCAGTCCAGGCCTAGCCAGCTCAGGGCCTCTCCTTCCTCTCTGCAGCGAGCTTCATCTCCCCAGAGAAGAGCCGGAAGATGCTGCCAACCCCCGTCGGAACCAACAGTGGCACCTCCCTTCTGGGCCCCAGCCTGCTGGATGGCAACTCTCGCGACTCGTTTGTGTCCCGGTCCCTGGCTGATGTCGCCGAGGTAAGCGCACGAGCTTTCCCCCAAGCCTGGGTGCCAGCCTCCATCCCAGAGCTGCCAGACCCTCCGGCAGACCCGTGTGGTTACTCAGAACTGCTCACCAAGATTTACATGTCAGGAGCCGTCATGGACAGAGCCCAGCCTCTGACTGCTCCTGAGAGGGAACCTCTGCCAGTACTGGCCCGGCATTTGTCCCGCTGGCAGCAGGTGACAGACCCTGAGTCACGGCTGAGCCCGGGGCTCTGAAGGCAACTCTGGGTCTTGTGTATCCTCCACCAGCTGTGTGACCTCGGGCAGGGACTCTGTGTCCCCCTGCTCAGTCTCCTGATCTGCAGAGGAGAAGAGGCAGTAGTGGCGGTGCCATCGTTGCTGCCACCTGACAGAGGGGACCCTTGAGCAGCACCTTGGTGTCGTTGCTCGTGGCTGACCTGCCGAATGGAGGGAGGGCTGCTGCAGAGGCTCCTCTGCGATCACGTGATGACCCGGGAGTCATGCTGTGGCAGTGTGTCACCCCCATGTTCTGCCTAGAATGCAGCATCCCTCTTTTCTTTGTCCAGGCCGCTGCCTCACACAACCACCCAGGCCTCCATCCCACTAGGTTTGAGTGGTATCTGTGGGCAAGTAGGGCTGAGGGAGTGAAGACGGGTACATTTAACTAAGACTCCAGGCGTGAAGTAACAGGTACTGTAGGAGTTTAGACAGAGGCTGTGCTGAGGGGAGAACCTAAGTCTAGAATGCCCCTGGCCCAACCCCCAGCTCATTGCTGAAGTCCTAGAGCAGCATCTCCCCAACACCGGCTCCCTAGGCTGTCGAGGCACTTGTGGGGGGCCCTCGAGCATTTCATAGTCGATACTCGGGGGGAACCTGGATCAAACAAAGCTCACACAGCTGCTTCCCAGGATGCCTCAGCTTCTCGGTGTCCGGACGTAAATCTCGAGATCCGAGGGGATTTTGAAAACAAATTTCAGTTTTTTTGAAATTTCTTGTAGTTAAAAAGTTTAAAGTTCAGTTCATCCTGTGCTCTACTCAGAATTTTCCGAAGACTTCTCATTTGTATTTGTTCATTACATCAAGCAGTTTGTTAATATTAATTGAGGGCCTACTAGATGCCGGGCACTGCTACAGGCCCAGAATGGACAAATTAAAGGCCCCATCCCCATGAGGCCGACAGTCCGGTGCTGGAGGTGCGGGAGGAGGCAGTAAACTCCCTGGCTCTGCCCACAGGACAGTCCTGATGCGTGAGGCCCCACTGTGCACACTCTGGTCTCCTCTACTCTCTGCCTTACTCACTGTCACATCCACCATCTTTCTTGTTTCTTGAACAGCCGGCTGTTCCCACCTTAGGGGCTTTGCACCTGCTGTTTCTTCTCACGGGAATGTGCTTCCCTCGTGGCTTTACATGACTTGCTCCCACACTTCTGCTCACACCCCGCCTCAGAAAACCCTCCTCTGACACGCAAGCCCGTGGCAAACTCCCTCCTCCACTTCTGTCTCCTTCAGGCCACCCCACAGTCCCTAGTTCTGCTGCCTTCCCTCTGCCTCTCTGTCCACTGACCGTCCTCCCCGGGGACCCACCACTCTGACCCGACAGCTGGGCGGCCGGGCTCACAGTACATACTTGTCCACAGAGCGAGTGTTCGCAGTGACGGAGGTGATTCTGAGGTTGTCCCTGGAGTGCGGGGGCCGCTGTTACGTGGCCGCCAGAGGGACTCTCACCCTCATTGTAGAGGGAGTTGTGCTTAAGTCCGGCCGTGGTGGCCGGCTGCCTGCTCACTCGTCTCCCCGTGTCCTCTCCCACAGGTTGTGGATTCCCAGCTGGTGTGCATGATGAACGAAAACAGCATCGATTACATATCCCGGTTCAATGATCTGGCCCAAGAGCTGTCCATCGCTGAGCCTGGCCGCCGAGAGGTTCTGTTTGATGGCGGTGGAGGTGGCCCCCCGGTTGGTGACCTGTCCCAGTGACTGTGCCTCATGGCTGGGGCAGCCCGGAGGCCGCGGAGGACAGCTTACGGGGTTGGTGGTCCTCGAGCATCATAGGGGTAGCCTTCTTTAGAAGAGAGAAAACATAAATCAAGCCCGGACTCCCAGGAGACAGTCTGAACAGAGGCACCTCTGCACCCAAAACGTGCAACGTGCACACAGCCATGTCCCAGCAGGCCGAGGCAGTGGTGGCCAGGCGATGAGGGAGCGTCCTCGGCAAGGCCAGTGTCAGATGTGGCCCTGGCGTCGGACCCACCCCCTACCAGGAGCATGTGTTAGGGTCTGCATGGTACCCACGCTTCTGCCTCGGTCATTGTGTCAGACGTTGCAGGGTGTTCTTTTTCTGAGAGAAGAGTGGTGGGCCTGGCTGTCGTCGTTATGGCCTGGGAAGCTGTGACCTCCTGCTCTCTGCAGGGAGGCTCCAGGGCATTGCTGCCTTCTTTGCGCCAAACCCACTCCCTGCTTCAGTTTTTCCCTCTGCAGTGCGAGGACGAGGACAGCTGGGCATGACCTGAGACAGCGGGCACTGCAGAGGACACTCCAATCATGGGGCAGTGGGAGGGTCCTGGGTCAGCGCAACTGGTGCCACCTCCCCAGAAATCCTGACCATGGCCTAGTGCTTCCTCATCTGGAGCTTTTGTTCTGACTGACTCAACAGGAAGGGGGAAAAGAATCATGTCTTATGCGGGTTGTGTGGACTTTTAAAAAAATCCCGCTAAGCTGGTCAGAAAATGTTTTTCTCGTATTTTGAGAATTAGGAGACATTGGAGAGGAAGAACAGGGTTCCTGTTTGGTTGGTTTCTTCCCCGCGTCTATCTGCACATTTCTTCTTGGTGACCTGAGATGTTATTTCTCTCTATTAGGGTGATCCCCAAGCGCTCATTTGACTACAGATAAGACTTTCCTGATGATCTTGAACTTCTGACGTGTTTCTGCCTAGCATTTTGGACAGATGCCATTTGCAGGGAAAGTTCTCTCTTCCTTTCCTTGGCATCAGTGCAGAGTATGCCCCAATGCATATGTCTAATCCCTTGCTTGTATTTCTGCCTCATGGTCTCCTGTTTCTCTTCCTCCTGTTCAGGGAATCCAGGCAAGGGTCAGACATCACGCGCAGTCAGGGTGCGCTGAACCCACATCCCTCTGGTGTGCTCCTTGAGCCTCCTCGGATGACCAGCCGTCACCATCTCGGGTAGTGCAACATCCAGTCTTTCCCCAGAATGGAGTTAACACAGCTCCTCTGCCTTCTCAGCCTTGCGAGGCCAAACACACAAACCACCATCCAGGCACACCTATGTGGCTGGGCACCAGTGCTGTGGTGTTGGGGCACCACCCCACCTGCTGCTTACCCCTGCCCAGCAGCTGCAGTCAGTGTGGCTTCTTGAATCCGCCCCAGCCCACTACTGTTAGTGTTCATCACCTTGCCTCTCTCCCAGCTCACTGTGGACCGGCAGCCTTCGAGGCCAGCTGGGCCCTCTCCTCTGGTTCCTCCCCCTGCCCGCCCACCCACCCCCCCCCCCGCCCCCCGCGAAGAGATGAGCCAGTGTGCAAGGAGAGGGGAAGGTCCTTTGCGAGTACAAGCAGAGGGGCCGCTCTTGATCCTGCCACCTCCCCAGCGTTGTCAGCTGCTCCAGGCTGCAGGTCGGGTTGTCCCCTCCAAGCTGCAGAGGAAGCAGGACCGTGGCTTCCAGGCGATAGCTTCCTTCCTTCCTCTCCAGCTTTCCTCAGAGCTCCTGCCTGTCATGTGGCCTCCCTCTTTCAGATCTGGATTTAGGCACAAACATCACTAAGAAAAGCCTGTGTGGGCAGCCCTCCTGGGCTCTTGAAAAAACAGTCCCAAAGCTCTGGAGGTCTGAAAGAAAGGGATGTGGTACCACTTTAAGAGAGATAGACAGCAGTATTTGAGTCCAGAGTCTCTTTAAACTAGCTTGTGTTTTGTGATCAATGTATCAGCTTCCTGAAATTAGTACCTTATTGAGCCAAACAAGATCAGTAGGTCTGTCTCTGGGCATCCGACCCGGTTAGATCCACAGTGGATCAGGCCAAGGTTAGGCCACTGCCAGCTTTCTTGTATTCCCACTGTCTGGGACCAGAGATGCCAAGTAGCATTACTGCATCAATGCGGGGGGCAGTGCCCAGTGGCAGTGGGCACTGTGCCAGGGACAGTAGCGATCCCGAGCTGCTTATCCATCAGGGGACACCCCACAGTAGTCTGGTCGGTAGGTTGGCACCTGTCACCTGGTGGACGTCCAGCAGGAGGAAAACTCTGGAGAGATCTGGATAAGACTTTGTCGGCCCTTTATTCAGCAGCATGTCCCTCTTGGGTCTCCCACACAGACTCCATTTGGGAGTAGCTGACTGCCCAGTGTCATCCAGTGGGGAGGTGAGTTGCGGAGGAGAGTGGACTGACTTCTCAAACTTGTAATAAAGCTGACATGATTTCAGAGAACCCTGCTTCTCTAGCAACCAGACAGGTATAAGCATTTGCCTGCCATATTAAGGAAAAATGGTGTCGTCTGTAGCATTAAAATGATGGATGCCTTTTCTCCCAACCTAAATGATTATATATGTATGAAAATAAGCAACTGTTATGTTAAAGGCTGGAATTTTTCAAAAGACCCAAGCAGAGACACCTCCCACTTCTGCGTCTCCCTCTGCCCTTCCAGCGGAAGTTGTGATAGTGTCAGTATACACCTGTGGCTTTCTTTGTGCATTTCAGCATGTTGTGATTAAGACCAGGTCAGTTTCTCAGAAAAATCTTCCCCTAGTCACTCTAACGTTGTCAGGGATCTTTTTGCTGATTCATCTCTTCTAAAGATTGAGACTGAATATCTTCAGTCTCAAGGGAGTTGTTTTTGCCTTGATTCTTCATTGTGAATATCCAGTGATGAGCATTCCATTCTTCAGAAGGTGCAGAGGCAAGTTGAAGTTCGTGATTCCACATAAGGTTCGTGATGGCATTTTTCTCATCCCTCTGTGTCTTCTGGGCGTAGGGTACTTGCTCAGGGAGTGGGGGTATTTGGAACCATTTCATCGGTTCATCCACTTGCTTTCCCACCTCAGTCCCATTCTCTAGCATTCTGTACCATAGCCTCATTACTGGTGGTGTCTTTTCAGTTTAATAGCATCTTTAACTAGATCACACCATTGAATCCAAACATGTACAAAGAACAGTCATAGAATAAAAGACACTTGAAACAAGTGGAGGAGGAAAACAGCAGTTGCTTTTTCTTTTTCTTTTAACATTGAGATCTATCAGATGCATTTAGGAGGTAATATGGCACTTTGTCTTAAGAAAAAAAAGAAAGAAACCCACAGCAAACCTTTCCTGACTTGTCAAAACTCTCCTAATCCTACAGTAACTTGTAAGTCGTGTTAGATGAGGTAAGTCTTGGAAGCACTACAGTAGCCCATGCTCTTTGTTCTGTAACAGGATAACCGGCTCTAGAGCTTCTGGGCAGCAGAACTTATTGCTGTTTTTTATAATAATCGTTAAGCCATATCATCTAAGGTTTTCGGCTTGAGATGTGAATTTGTTTTATAGATTATAAATATACATATACAGTGTATGTATAAAGCAGAATGCCTGTCCTTCCTGATTATTTTTTGTACCATATTGTAAATTATATTATTTATTCTTTACCAATTTGGGGAATAAAAGGTGTTTGGTTATTTAATATAATAAACAAAAGCTGTTAAACTTCTTATGTTTAAATTTCCAGTTCAACTTGTAAATCTGTTTTTATTATTGTGCATAAATACATACTAATACTTGATCTAATAATTACTGTTTCTGCTTTTTTCTTTTTAAGTGTGCACTTTGCAAACAGCCCAAGTGGCTCTCATCTGGTGAAATCTCAGAGGAATCGATGGGCTGTCCGCAGTGTAACTGAGCAACAAAACACTGCTGAATGTGTTTTGTTTTTTTGAGCTAGAAATCAGACAGCTGGCACAGTTTATCCCTTGCTTCCCATTTCTGAGTTAGTGTTCTTGCCCCCACGACGTGCAGGACAGAGGAACTGCGATCCCGTTTCCTTTGGCCACGTATCCACGTGCCATTGACTGGCTTGGCGAAAACCAAGCGTCTCCGGACAGGCTGGACCCAGCTCGGTGCTGCTTGGTGCCGACACAGCAGGCCCATGAGGCGGGCGGGAGGCCCCCGCGGGGCTGCGGGGAGTTTCGGCCAGGTGGCCGGATAGTGCCCGACCCCGCCCACCTCGGGGGAGTGGGGAGGGACAGTCCCCCGCCGGCTTACTGCCCAATGGCGGCGCCCGGCGCCGTGAGCGGTACCTGTTCTCACCAATCGGCCGCGAGCGCGGCGCAGGCCTCACCAAGCTTCCGTCTCGTGGGGCGGAGTCCGACACCACGATAGGCTGATGCAGCTTGACTGGTGTCGGCGGCGCCCAATAAGAGCGAGAAGGCGGGCCTCGGGTCGCGCGGGGCCGAGCGGGAAGGACGGCGAGGCGGCCGGGAGGCTCCGAGTGGCGGCCGACATGTTCCGGGCGCCGGAGAGTAAGGGAGGCCGGGCCGGCTCCAGGTGCGGCGCGGGCGCAGCCACGGTCACGTAGGATGCGCGGGGGCGGCGGGGCGGCCGCGGTGAGCTCACAGAGCCGGGGCCTCCGGGGCCGGGTCGGGGAGGTGGGCGCGCCCGCGGGACCCGGAGGCCTGAGTGTGCCTCCCCGCGCGTCCGGTCCCAGCACGTGCCCCTTCATTGGCGAGCGCGCCGGAGATGCTGTCCGAGCCGTCTGCTGCGGGGGGGCGGGCGTGGCGGCGCTGCTGGGATTCTGGGGCCCTGCGGCGTGTG